AGGATATCAGCAACATTTTACTAGTTAGCCACTTTTTGATATCTTTCACAGAAAATGAGATATATAGGCTCAAAGTGGACGATCCGGGTGTCGTTCTATTAGAGGTTTTACGGTAATCCTATTTTTAGCTGTATTTTAAAGCTAATTTAATATTCGAGTTCAGAAGTTCATGAGCATAAGTACAGATTGGCGCATAATTACCTGCACAAAAGAAAAGGTCATATATTTGGACATAAGTATGATAGAGACATGAAAATCGGGAGAAATGTACCCCTTTGTATGATACACATTTGCTGAAATTTTCAAAACGTTTACACAAGTTTCAGTATTTTTATGATTGCCCGAAGATGAACGGCGAAATGTTTCTTGCACGCCGCTGTTTCTTCATCTGAATTGATGTGACTTCATGCTAGATTATACGATTTGACTGAAATTTTGTCGAAAGTAAGGTACACATAAGTATTGTTTTTATACAATGTTTCACGTTGGTTGGATGCATCTATCCAGAAATACAGTGGCGAGAAGTGGTGAGGAGAATTTTTTCGAACATTCATAACTTAGTTCAGAATTGCACAATTGATTTGAAATTTTGCATGAAAATAGCTGTAAAATCCAGAAACATAAAAACCGGTTTTTAGAAAATTTCTCATTTTCAGAATTTTCAGAGCAGTTTCAGATGTAACAGTGGCCCGAGAATCCATAAAAAACATTTTTCCAAAAATTTTCTGGCTTCGATTTTAAATGTCAAATGATTTTTAGTGTCCAAATATGCCCCAAAAAAGTTTTGAAGAATTTTGGAAGTCGGAATCTCGAGTTATGGTGCTCACTAGGGAATGACTCACAGAAGATGTGGAGTTATGGGACGAGACCTATATCATTCGGAAGAGGATGAAATTTCATTTTCAAATATATGCTCAGTTTTTGCGGCGGCCTCCGCTAACTCGAGAAATTTAGGTCAGAAGTTTTCAGTAGATTTTGCACTGAAATGCATACGTGAACGCTTCCACGTCCTCATTTCTTTTATACGCTTTGAAGAACCATTGAAAACAGCAGTGGGATGGTTCAGTGGTAAAGCGGCGGGATGGGGAAATGGTACTCTATGGTTCGACTCCTTCATAGTCGAAACTCTTTTTTTATTTTTTGGTGGTTTTTTATATGACCTGTTTTTGAGCTCAAAAGCTGCTTTCAGCAGTTTTCCATACTCTAAACACCTTTGGCATCTTGTCAAATACAAATTAACCAAGTTTTTGGAAAAAAAATTTCTGAAGAAAATTCGCATGTTTTCATGATCCATACACCTCTTTTCAAATTTTCAAAAAAAAATTTTTTTTGAAACACAAAGAAATCTATATTTATTATTATAACGAGTTAAACAGAGGTGCACAGATGCTTATCCTTGATAATAAAATGCTCGAAGCATATGAACTCCTTGCATCTGGAGCACTTGATGAATGCAAGCTCAAAAACAGGTCATATAAAAAACCAACAAAAAATAAAAAAAGAGTTTCGACTATGAAGGAGTCGAACCATAGAGTACCATTTCCCCATCCCGCCGCTTTACCACTGAACCATCCCACTGCTGTTTTCAATGGTTCTTCAAAGCGTATAAAAGAAATGAGGACGTGGAAGCGTTCACGTATGCATTTCAGTGCAAAATCTACTGAAAACTTCTGACCCAAATTTCTCGAGTTAGCGGAGGCCGCCGCAAAAACTGAGCATATATTTGAAAATGAAATTTCATCCTCTTTCGAATGATATAGGTCTCGTCCCATAACTCCACATCTTCTGTGAGTCATTCCCTAGTCAGAGCACAAAAGGTATGTGTCGGCATTTTTACCATAACTCAGCTGAAAATGTATTTCTCATGCTCAAAACTTCACAAATGATGTGTTTTGAGCTGTTTATTAGTTTCATGTTAAAAGTTTCTCAATTGTAGAAAAATTTTTTTCATTTTTTTTTCACCGCTAGGGAAAATTTCTAAAATAAAAAAAATGAGAAAAAATGTTTTTTCTACAATTGAAAAACTTTGCCGACACATACCTTTTGTGCTCTGAGCACCATAACTCGAGAGCACGACTTCCAAAATTCTTCAAAACTTTTTTGGTGCATATTTGGACACTGAGAATCATGTTACATCTGAAGTCAAAGCCAGAAAAAATTCTGGAAAAAAGTTTTTTTTGGATTCTCGGGCCACTGTTACATCTGAAACTGCTCTGAAAATTCTGAGAATGAGAAATTTTCAAAAAACCGATTTTTATGTTTTTGGATTTTACAGCTATTCTCATGCAACATTTCAATTCGATTGAGCAAATTTGAACTAAGTTATGAGTGTTCGAAAAAATTCTCCTCGCCACTTCTCGCCATTGTATCACTCTAATAGTCACCCTAGGGTTGTTGCTGGCCGCCAGTGCCAGAGCTATGGGCCTTTCAATTTCACGTGATTTGCATTAAAAGCCAGCAAAATTTTTAAGCAGGCAATATTTGCCTGTTTAAAATTTAAACCGGCGTCAAACGCCGCTTTCTTTTTGAGAATAGAATTTACCTTTTGATTCACCAAGATCCCCTCACTGTAGCTTCAATCTTGATTATCTCAGTTCTTATGAAAGATAGCAAAAAACTGTCAACTGATAAAATGCTCCAAATGTCAAGAAAAACATTTTGGCAGTTGACGGTTTTGTCGTATGTTTCACAAGAAGTCAGATAATTGATTTTAAAGGGAGAGAATGGAAATTATAAAATGTTAGAACGAATTAGGTATTTGAGAAGTTACCACTAGTCTTCCATCAATAGTTTTTGTGATTATGTCTGGATCGAGGTTTAGTTCAAAAGTATTTGTTTAGGTTTTTAGAATTTTTAGTTGTAAACTTTGATTTCCGGGACTTCCGAATGCAGGTTTAAAAAAAACTACGAAGTTCGAAGAAATTGAAATTTTAAATTTCAAAAGTTTAGGAATTAAGAAATTTTTCGTTCAAAAATATAAAGCATGACAGTATAGAAACACCGAAAATAGTTCTTAAAAATAATAAGAAAATAATAAAATTCTGAATTTTCGAAAAAAAATTTCAGAACTTTCAGAGACCAGATTTTCAGAATTTCAAACATAATTCCAGAATTAATCAAAATTTTCAAAGGTCTACAATTTCATTTTTCATTCCATTTCATTGTTTCGGATCATCAGTCGTTTTTTTAAAAATCTTTTCTCTATGAAGTATTTTCCATTGAAAAATTCATCTTTTAAAAAACCGGCGTTTGATGCCAGTGAAAAATTTTACTGGCGATTCACGCCGCTCTAAAAACTGGCGCTGGCGGCCAGTGCAAAAATTAAAAGCGGCGTGTGGCGCCAGAAAACGCCATTTTGGCCAGCCTAAGTCTTGTGAACCGATTTTCAATAAAAATGAGTTGACAGGGCTACAAATTCTTACAAACATTTTTAATTTAATTTTCTTAAAAATTCAATGCAAAAAGACATAAATATTAGATAGTAAGGCCAATTTATTTCAAAAAGCCAGACTACAAAAAACTTCGTTAGACTTCCGCTGAAACATATTGCACTAAAAGGGTCGTTTTTATGATTTCATGAGATTTTAAAAATCTGAAACTTGGCCAGTTTATTGATGAGATATGTGAATTGTTGCACTCCAAATTTGAGCTCAGTACAACGCTTCATTCCAACTTTATGGTAGTACAAACTTTTGTAAGACGCAGAGAAGCGATAGTGTTATCATCGTCTGTGCCTCTCTCACCCTTCAAAGTTAAAAGGCGCATAACTCTGCTGGATATTGATAATTTTTTTGATTTTTAGCTAGAATTGTAGGAAATTTTGAGGGCTTCAAAGCGATATACAGTCGGAATTTTTGTTGGTCCAAAGTACCTCCAAAGGGATGTTCTATTTTTCTGGGTATTTTTCTATGGCGCTCCGCTGACCAGCTCTCCCGCCCTGTCACTCAGGGTGCCTGCATATCGAACTACCAGTCAATAAAGCAATCAGGTCTCATCGTGCTCCGAGGAAACTCCGCCCGGCCACCGGAGAGAGGTACAGGCGTGCGGGCAGGCTCCGCCCACCCACCGGGGGTGTCCCATATAAGGGATGAGATTTGGCAGGGATGACCATATCCTTCTTTTGTTTCTCTTATTGATTTTTCAATCTTGGACTTTCTGAGCATGTTTCTAGCTGTCTGGGAGGCTTGAAGGTTGTCTCAGGTTGCCTTAGAAGGCCTCAGGCTGTCTAGAGCTATCTAGAGCAGTCTAGAGCTATCTAGAGCTGTCTAGAGCTATCTAGAGCTGTCTAGAGCTATCTTGAATTGCTTTCAATCCGCTCCTAACCCTTTCTCCCTCGCTCTCTCTCCAGATCTATTGATTTTTCATCTATTGATTTTCAGAACACTTCGAATTCTCTGCATTCATCATGGCCGATCAAGCTGCCCCAGCCGCCGCACCAAAACCCGAGCCATCGTTCTACTTCAGTCTCGAAAGCTGCGACAAGGAAATCGTCAAGATCAGTGACTTGGCTGTCCCACAAATGGTCACCATCAACAACCTGGTCTCCGGTCTTGGCTACGACGCCGAGAAAGCCGCTAAGAACGTGATGCCGATCGATAATATCACTGGTGTCACCTTGAAGCGTGCCGTCGCCTGGTGTGAGCATCATCGTGGCGTGGAGTTCCCGGAGGAGAAGAACGAAAGCTTTCCACGTCAGACAAACATTCCAGAGTGGGACATGAACTTTTTGAAGGAGCTGGAGGACAAGGAGCTCGAAGAGCTGACTATTGCTGTCAACTACTTGGAGATCAAGCAGCTGCTCCGTTATTGCTGCAAGAAGATTGCCATGATGGCGGAGGGGAAGACTCCAGAGGAGTTGAGAGTGATTTTCGAGATTCCGACTGATGAGGAGGATGCGATTGCCGAGCAAGAGTTGAAGGAGAGGCTGGAGAGAGAGGCGAAGGAGGAGGCCGAGAGAGGGATCGTTGAGGGACCATCCACATCCACTGGAAAGCGTTAGACTATTGGAGCTCCTGGAGCCCTTTCACTGTTAATTGCCCTCTTTGTTTCTTGTTCCTTTTTTATCGTTTTGAAAATAATAAATTTGATGAACTTGAAAAATTGTGTTTTTATTTTTTTTTATTAAAATTTCACAGCCATTTTTTCAGAGCTGAAATCGCTCATTTTCAGCCAATTTAGTTCGAATTGGCAGTTTTACTTGAAAGTTAACATTTGATGTTTTTTCAGCTAGAATTGCTCATTTCGAAGTTAAATTTATGCATAGTTGCAAATTTGGCCAAAATCGGGTTTTTCGATATTCTAGCCTGGCCCGCAGCATGTTAATGGACCGGAATCCGGCTGAAATGATATAGACGTGATGGGCCCTGCCGAGATCTATCATTTGGTACCAAATCTGCCCGAATATCTCGTTTTGGAGACAAGTTCTCTGCCGGCCCGCCACCTGTCCGGGCCGGCCCGTTTGCAACTATGAATTTAAGCCTACTTTTAGCCTGATTTGAGCTTATTTCAAGCCTTTTTAAAAGCCTTATTAGCCTATTTTGAGCCGTATTCTTAGCCTGTTTTTGAAAATATTCGATTTTGGAAGTTCATCCGCTGTATGAAGGGCATCATTTTTCAGAAAACTTTCAGAAAACTCTTTTATTGAAGAGACGTAGAGCAGCGAGAGTGTTCTCGTCGTCTATGCCTCCTCGAAGTTTAAAAGCGCATAACTCTGCTGGATATTGCCCGTTGTTTTTGATTTTTAGTCAGATTTGTAGGAAATTTTAAGTGCAAATTTATTATCCTAATTGAAAACGTAAAAAGCAAAACCTACCGAAAAGGAGTCCAAAAATCATGAGACTTTCCATGGTGTCGATAACAAACAAACCCAAAACGGCGGTCACGAGGTATATAATGCACTGAAAATTTGGTATTTCAGAACTTCAGAAATTTAGAATTTTCGGATTTCAGAAGTTCAGAATTTTAGAATCTGAGAGTATCAGAATCTAAGAATCTCAGAATCTCAGAATCACAGAAATTCCGCCGAAAAAAAGACAACCGACTGACCCTGGCTTTTGATTTATGATTCTGGGAATTAAAAAAAAAAGGTAAATTGGGAGGAATGGGAAATTAAACATTTGAATTATCAACTTTGGTTCTCTGAAGTCTTCCAGATCGAAGCCGCAAATTTAAAACATTCGGCGGGAATTCAAAATGGTTTGAAGTTAAAAAAAAAGAGGTCACATAGAAACAGATTTAGCTAAACCTTCAGGCAGCGAAGGCAGTAGAGACGCAGAGAAGCTAGAGTGCTCTCGTCGTCTCTGCCCTCTTACCTTTCAAAGCTTAAAGGCGCATAACTCTGTTTATGACTGCCAGAATTTTTTGGTTTTTAGCTAGATTTGTAGGAAATTTGAAGGGCTACAAATTGATGTATTTTGAGACTGATAGAAAATTTTAAACTTGCTCCAAGGTTCCCCTAAAGGACCCTCCTTCCAAAACAGCTTTATCTCCCCTGTCATTTTCATTCGAAATGGCGGTTCCTCAAAGGTTTTGACGGGAATTCAAAGTTTAAAAAATTAAAAATTAGAACTATGTATAAGACTTTGAAAACAAAATTTGCTAAACCTTTGAAGCCCTCTATGCAGCAGAGACGCAGAGAAGCTAGAGTGCTCTCGTCATCTGTGGCTCCTCACCCTTCGAAGTTTAAAGGTTCATAACAGGCCTGTGCGGCAACAAATTGCCGATTGCCGAAATTGCCGAACTTTTGTTGCCGATTTGCCGTTGCCGATTTCGGCAAAAAAATTTCGGGAATATCGGCAACTGAAATTTTTTTGAATTTAGAGATTTTCACAAATTTTTTTAGTCAAAAAAATGATTTCGAAGTTCGAAAATAAAATTTTGAACACCATTATCCCTCAGAGTGAATTTTAGAGGAAATGTGTCCCAATAATCATCAAAAATACTTGCATCGGATCTAAAAATGGGCTTTAAATCTGTGAGCATAGGAGAAAAATAGATACCATGAGTCACAACTCATCAAAAAAAAATCATCCAATCTGTCTCAAATCTCTAGGGAACGTGTGTCGTGAGTTGCCTAACAAGTTGAGCGCACTATTTTCAAAACTCACAATCGGAACAAATATTTTCAACCATTGGAATACCCTCTATTGCTAAAGAGAAATAGTTTGCATAAAAAATGTGGTCTTGAGTTGCCAATTTTTGTAATTACCTTTTTAAAGGTGGTGTACGGTGAAATTTTTTATTGCATCAAAATGTGCAGAAATGCATGTAGATTGACATAAAAATAAAGAAAAAGTTCAAAAAAATTCCTTTATCGAGAAAAACGCATCGAAAAATACGATGAAAGCCCTTAGGGACGAGGTTTTTTCTAGGCCGCCCGGTGAGTAAAAGCGCGCGAATTCAAACTTTTAAAATTTTTTTCGCTCGTTTTCACTGTTTTTTCAAATTTTCCGATGTATCTGGAAGAAAAATTGACAAAAACCTTGAAAAATCTTGAAAAAACCAAAAAAAAGTGAAAACGAGCGAAAAAATTTTAAAAGTTTGAATTCGCGCGCTTTTACTCACCGGGTGGCCTAGAAAAAACCTCGTCCCTAAGGGCTTTCAGCGTATTTTTCGATGCGTTTTTCTCGATAAAGGAATTTTTCTTTGAACTTTTTCTTTATTTTTAAGTCAATNTACATGCATTTNTGCACATTTTGATGCAATAAANAATTTCACAGTACACTACCTTTAAGGAACTTATGAAACACATTTTCTGTAGTTCTGAGCCTGATAGAAGCATTTTCATGTGAGTTACGTATCGATTTTACAAAAAAAAAACGCAAAACATGTGTTGCCGAAAGTTGCCGAAATTGCCGAAATTTTTTTTCGGCAATTGCCGAGTTGCCGAACGTTGCCGAAAAGTATTCGGCAAATTGCCGAAAAATTTTGTTGCCGCACATGCCTGGTTCATAACTCTGCTGGATATTGGCCGATACTTTTGATTCTTATTTCGATTTCTAGGAAATTTCAAACGCTTCCAAATGATATACCGTAAGACCAGTATCGCAATTTTTGCTGTTCGTTAGCCTATTTCAAAGCCTGCATATCTCGACTTCAAATCAAGATTTTTAAGTTCTGAAAACTTGTGAAAAATTGTCAGAACTTGAGCTTTTCAACCAAAGACATCATGGCCTAGTTTTCCAAAAACTTGGCATTCTAGGCCACCGCTTTCTCTAGGACAATAACTGGTCAGCTAAATACGAAATAACATATATGACTTCATTGAAATAATTCAACAGGGAGCAATAAAGTCAATTTTTAAAAAATACATCCGAAAATTCTTCCAATTGTCTTCTTCGTTTTTCTTCCAAACTCTTGGATTTCCCACTCCAAAACGCATGTATCCAAGTACCAAGGCCTGAGATGTGGATTTACCTGGAAATTAAGCCTAATTGTAAGTTGTTTTCAGGATAACAATTTTCAATATTTCTAAAATGGATATAATAGAAAAAGTCAAGAGCTTCAACATGATACAAATTGGAACTTTGTGTCTTGTCTATGGGCCAAGTTACAAGCCGAAAGCCACCACAGCCACTTGGCTTGTATTAAAAGCTCTGTAACTTGGTCCGTGGGTAAGATACGCTTCACAATTAGGGTGTTTTTGTAGCTCTTGAACTTTCCTATTATATTCAATTTAGTAAATAAAAAAATATAGAGGTTGGGAGTAGTTATGACTTCCTGAATGGTCCAACAGATACCCCATGGCTACGGTCGGCTAAATGGTCCGCTAATTACCCAATTACCTCCATGAACAGCGCCATGAGATAATCCTGGATCCGGTCATAGTGCTCCCAGATCATGACCAGTTGCTGGAGACTGGACCTCTTGAGTGTCTTCTTGGAAACTCTCCGCAATCCACGTGGAAATGGAACTTTTCCCTTGTACTCCAGATAGAAAGCTCGCCGATCGAGATCACTGATCAGATCGAGAATCGCGATGATCAGGATTCCTTTTTCCTAAAAATTTAGTTTTCTGGCTACTGTAGTTTGTTAATATTGAATGACTAACCCGTTTCAAAAAGTAGTCCAAGGTTTCTTCGGCTCTCATTTTTTTCCGCTTTTGGCTTTCCCAAGATACTGTAACTTTGAGCTTAATTATCTCGGCTCCTATAAAAGGTATTAAAAATTTGTAAACTAATAAAAGGTTTTCCATAATATTAGCTACATTTTATCAGTTAATAAGTTTTTGATAGCTTCAACAGAAATCGAGATGATTAAGTTCGTGGGAGGCGGGTCCCATTTTAAAGACGCCTACTGTAGGCGCCCTGCGCCCACGCTTCCCTGCCAACTTCGAGCCGACTTACCTTGGTCCCTGTAAGAGATACCTAAAATTTGCAAACATACAAAATATAGGTAATATTCGAACAAACATCCAGTTGACAAAAGCCAGTTGACAAAATTTTGATATCTTTTATAGAAACCGAGATAATTGAGCCTGCGGGATGCGGATCTTTACAGCTCATAGTGTCGCAATGTGAACTTTAAGCAAATTTATCTTGCTCCTTATAAGAGGTATCAAAAATCTGTAAACTATAAAAGTATTTGTAATTTTATGCTTGAAATTTTATTAGTTAGCTAATTTTTTGATATCTCTTACAGAAACTGAGATACATAATTAAGCTGAGAGAGCCTTCACCTTTATAGCGAACACTGCAGAATGCCCTACTGACAGTCAACTTTAAGTCAATTTATTTCGACTCCTATAAGAGATATAAAAAATCGGAAAACTACAAAAATGTTAGTTATATTAAGAAAAACATTTTATCAGTTAGCTAATTTTTGATAGCTTTCACAGGAAATGAGATAATTGAGCTCAAAGGGCAAGTATAGGGCGCCTGTCTACATAAGATGATATTCAAGGTAACGCAAAAAATTGGACAACTTTGAAAAAAAAGCCAAAATTGAACAAAGTCTTGTTTGTAAGTTGAAAAAAGTGGGAAATGGAAGCCGAGGAGCCACTTCAGAATGGGATTCACCATGGATTCCGTGGGGGTAAATGTGACCATGGAAATTATATCGTTGGAGGGGAAATAGTGTGTAGGAGAGAGAATTTAGAGAAGTTTAGCCTAGAAGAGGAACGAAATTTGGAACATGGGTTACTGTAGATAGTTAGAAACTTTTCTAGCATCGAAATGCTTCTAGAAGGATTAATGTTTTTCGAAAAAATTCTCTAGCGGCGGATTTTGTTCAGCTGGTCTGACTCTTGTGGTCCTACTAAAATTAAAGGGGCATAACTCGATCAAAGATGAGCGGAATGAAAAGTTTTAAAATCCGGAAGAAGGAATAAGGAATAAGGAAGAAAAAATTCTAACTGAAATTTGGCTGAAATTGACCCGATAATTCCCTTTTTTCGAGCTGAAACAAAATTTAAAAAACACATTTTTTTTGGATTTTATCATTTTTATTGAGATCATTATTAATATTGTTAAAAATACAGTATACAAAAAAAACAAAAAGAAGGGCTCAAACTACAGTAAGACACAGAATACCATCATTACAGGGGACAGGAACAAATGAAACGCCTGGAGGGAAATTATTAGTCAAAAAGTTGGACCTAATAGCGGCGAAATTGGCCTTAGAATGGTTTCCGCGGTCAGTTTCAATCCAGGATTTTTGGATTTTCGCAGATTTCATAACGCAAATTATGTCAAAAATGTAAAAATCGGCTAATTTAGTGGTTAATCCATGGAAGTCGTAATAATTGGGACCTTTTGGATGAGCGGCGTTCCATTCCCGGACTTTTTTGTCGATGTGCTCCTTGTAGAATAGATTGACGGTTTTTTGAGCCTGAAAAAAAGGAAAAAATTGACTTAAAATTGTCGAAAATTCAGTTTCTAGCTTAGAAACGGGTTTAGAACGGTCAGAAATATAGAAATTGCTTGAAATTGCCAAAAAATTCAGTTTTAAAAAGAAAAAAATGTCTCAAACGGCCTAGGATTATCCTTGTCCACGGCCGCGCAGCTATCATCGTCTGGAGTCATTTTTAGGTATTTCAAAAACGAAAAATGACTCTAGAAAGATGGTGACCGTGGCTGTGGCTTAGGAAAATCCTAGACCATTTTTTTTTGAATTTTTTTCAAAAAGCTGATTTCAGACTTTTTTTTTCTTTTTGGATGTTCTCCCCCTTTCGCCCTCACCCCCTCTACCTGCTTCCTTCACTGTGGTGAAACCAAGGAACGTCTCCAGAAGTCTTCAAAATTGAAATTTCGAAAAATGAAAAGCACCAACTAATGAAAATTTCCGATTCGCCTGTCCAGGTTTCAGCTCACATTCAATCGGTTAGTTTTGAAATGGTTAACAGGCGCGCTACATACATCCGGACATACATAATTTGGTGAATGTTATTAGTAATGATTTTGGTTTTTTTTTCCAAAATTTCAGTAGTTTTCTTTTTTTTCTCTAATTTTACAAAATTCGGTTTTTTTTCTATTTTGCGTACATTTTTTTCAAACTCTAATTTGAAAAATGACTTACATGAAGATGCTGCACATATTGACTATGCGCCTTCTGTTCCCTGGCAAAGTGCCAGGTTTCTGGGTACACTTCCATGTAACCTGGATCCTCTGGGTGGATAAACTGGCACTTTGGGCCATATCGGCAGTGGCCGCATCCCAGACGTCCCCAATTTTTGCATAGTTGGGTCTTGTAATTTGGCTGAAAATTTGGAATTTTTAATTTGAAAAAATGGTGCGTTTTGGGATCGAAAAACCAGATTTTTCAGCCAAATTGAGGCTAGAAATTTTTTGCTTTAAAAATTAAAAATTACCTATATTTGGATGCAGTATATAGTTGACTCTCCCCGTTTTTTCTGTGTTCTCTGAAAAAATTGAGACCATAAAAATGCCAACAAAAAAAAACTCGCCCTATGGATTTTGCCAAAAGTTCCAACGTTTTGATGAATTTCAATTTCAGTTGAAAAATCCATATTTTTTGGTATAATAATAAGAATTTAGAAATAATATAGACGAAGATACAAACACAGAGAGATGTAGAAAAAGAACTGGTTGACTTGTTTTTTGGACCATATGATAAGGGGGCGTGGCCTAATTAGATCCCCTAATTATTAGGGGGCAGGTGAACAATGTGAAAACGGGGTGGTTTTTTGAGGGATTTGCGAAAAAAATTCTTCAAATTTCAACCGTATTATATCAAAAATTAATAAACTGATAAAATGTTCATCATAATATCACCAATCTTTTATCAGTTGATAGATTTTTGATATCTTTTACGGGAACCGAGATAATTAAGGTCAAAATAGGGGACCTTGTATGTTTTAACAGAGGGATACTGTATTTTTAGAGGCGAAGTAGTTCTTTTCCATTGCCAGATTTCCAAATTTCTGGTTGAAAAACAGCCTGAGAAACAGTAGAGCCTTCTCAAAACGCCCGGAAACAATTAAAGGACCTTCTAATACAGGTTTTACTATTTAAAAAGCTCTCACATGTTTCCCACAGATTTCGCTTCTATCTAGGTACAGTAATCCCAACAACTCTCATATTGTGTCTCCTCGATGTTACACTGTTCTCCACTCCAACAATATAATTTCCATGGTCGCAGTCCCCCACGTATCCATAGAGAATCCCATTCTGAAGAGGTGACTCTCTTTCTTCCCAGAGTTTTTTTTTCACTTTTTCTTTCCTTTCTACACAAAGTTTATGTTTTCCAGGTAATAAAAAAGGGACAATAATGGAACCGGAGCCGGAGCACGAGACGGAGCGGCGGGTAGGTTTATGACCTTGATTTTCCCTGAAATATACTTTTAACATCCAAAAAAACATTTCCAGGAACGCGGAATTCTGATGTTCTCGATTCGAAATCTCTACTGGGACATTGCACGGCGTCGTCGACGCATTCGTCTGAATGCTCAACGACTCAGAGTTCCGAATCCATTTCCAACGGGCATCTACCGTATCCCGGATGCTCAACTGGATGGAGCAAGTATGGAACAATTGCTGGAGATCAAGAATGATCTTCAGAAGTCCCAATCGGAGATTATGGAGAAGCAACAGGAGTATCAAACGGAGCCTCTAGAACGGTTCGTGGATCCAAGTGGACTTCAATGGGAGATTCAGGAGTTCAAACGACGGACGATTGCAAGGATTGGAAGATGGTTTGGGAGATAAAAAGATACTTTGTGGTTTCATGTTGTCTGAATGAAGTATTCAGATTGTTTCTCATTTTACACAGTTTTTATTTTTTAAAAAGATAAAAACCAAATTATAAAAAAATGTGAAAACATTTTTTTGAGATTATAAGAACCGGAAAAAAAGAAACCACTATAAATTCTGTAATAGAAGCTCACCCTATACATTTTGTTCGAGCTAAGAGGCGCAGAGAAACGAGACGCGCTAACTTCTCTGCGTTTCTCATAGAATAAAGGGCCGTCAACTTTGAGCTCAATTATCTCAGTTCATATGAGAGATATCAAAAATTTGTTAACTGATAAAATTTTGGTGATATCATAATAAACATTTTGCCAGTTAACCATTTTCTGATAACTTTTCTAGTTGTTGAGATATGCGCCGTTATAGTTTGCCGTGCTTTTTTATAACTTGCGCGCGTCTCAAACTTTAAAGGCGCATATCTCGAAAACTAAAAATAGTACCAAATCTGATAGCATGATAAAAATATTAAAGGTGGTGTACGGTGAAATTTTTTATTGCATCAAAATGTGCAGAAATACATGTAGATTGACATAAAAATAAAGAAAAATTCAAAAAAAATTCCTTTATCGAGAAAAACGCATCGAAAAATACGCTGAAAGCCCTTAGGGACGAGGTTTTTTCTAGGCCGCCCGGTGAGTAAAAGCGCGCGAATTCAAACTTTTAAAATTTTTTCGCTCGTTTTCACTTTTTTTTCGGGTTTTTTCAAGTGTTTTCTAGGTTTTTGTCAATTTTTCTTCCAGATAAATCGGAAAATTTGAAAAAAACAGTGAAAACGAGCAAAAAAACTTTAAAAGTTTGAATTCGCGCGCTTTTACTCACTGGGCGGCCTAGAAAAAACTTCGTCCCTAAGGGCTTTCATTTTTCGATGCGTTTTTCTCGATAAAGGAATTTTTTTTGAATGTTTCCTTTATTTTTATGTCAATCTACATGCATTTCTGCACATTTTGATGCAATAAAAAATTTCACCGTACACCACCTTTAATAGTTGACAATTTCTCGATAATTTTTTTATTCCTTGAGATATGCGCCTTTAAAGTTTGCAGTGCCTTTTTTCAGCTTGTAGGCTGCAATATGCGCGCTTCTCAAAATTTAATCGCGCATATTTCAATAACTAAAAATCATATCAAGAATTTGTCAATTGATAAAATATTGGTGATATTATGATAAATAATTTATCAGTTGCCGACTTTTTGATAACTGTTTTATTCCTTGAGATATGCACCTTCAAAGTTTGCCGTGCTTCCTCGTAGCTTGAAGTTGTCAAAGAGCTGCAAAATACGTGCGTCTCAAGCTTTAAAGGCGCATATCTCAAAAACTAAAGATGATATCAAAAATCTGTCAACTGGTAAAATGTTGGTGATTATAAAGATAAACAATTTATCAGTTGATCACTTATAGGAGCCGAGATAATTGAGTTTAAAATGAGCGACTCCTATTAGAGCATTTGCAACTTGATTTCAAAACTAAAAAAATCAAAAAAAAATCAAAAATGTTGAACATTTGCAAAGCATGCGAAATCTGGAGCAAACTCCTGTGGTCCATGTGCCTCTAGCCGGATCCGTTTGTTCGCCAAAAATTGCTCAGTTTTAGCATTATAAAGAATCGGTGATTCTGGAGCCTCTGATTCCGATGAAGTCACTTGTGAAGCGCTTCTCTTGATCACGAATTGTCGAAGAGTGCTCCGGGTGGACGTGGAGCAAATCGGATGGGTTTCGATTGAGTAATCTTGGCTTGGAGTCTTGGTTTTCCCATATTTTTTAGCATTTGAAGGAGCTGCTTGGATGATTTCGATGATTTGGATGTCCGAGTCTTCACTTTCTGGAGTCTTGTCCTCTTTTTCAGAATTGTCCTTTTCATAAAGTTGGCAGGATTTTTCAGTGTGCAGAACATCTTTAGAATCCAAAAAAAGGCCATCTTTGAGTCCAGTCCGGATCCGAATCCTCTTCAGCGCTTTCACCAAATCTGGATCATTAATAAGACCAGCATAGATCACTTGGCAAGTGTAGCAAAGGAACAGTTCATCTTCCCCTGCAGAATTTCGATTTTCAGCAAGAAATTTATGAAATCCAGCCATGAATTCGTCGTCGAACTTGATTTCCGGGGTTTCTGAATTCGATTTTTGCGTTTCCTCGAAGAATTTGTAGAATTCGGAGCGAGTTTCAAAGAGGGTCGTGGCGCCAAGAGCCTGATTTTGTTCCAGGAAGAATTTATGGAGAATTGGATTTATAGGAATACGGGTGTTGTTCTGAAAAATGATTTTTTGGCCCCGGGACGTTTTGACTAGACTACAAACATTGAAGTTCCGGGTTTTCTACGGTGTTTTTTTTAAAATTTTCTTTTTAAAATTTTTTTGGTCGGACAAGGGAACCACAACACCTCGTCAGTTTGGATTTTGATGAAAATTTCAGGATATGTCAAGGATAGACTATCTAGACATGCCTGAAAATTTTAGAACACGCTCGCCAGTTTCAGCCGAGCTATTTCAGTTTCAGTACCAAATAAACGGATTTCA